TAGCAGTCAATTACTAAACTATACTAATATTAGTTTTTGTACCAATGGTGCCATCAGTGGGAAAACGCCCAAATTAGTAGTAAATATTTCCCACTATTGCTATTTAGATGACGCTGCTAGCTAAAGAGTCGATAATTATTGCGGGTATGCATTGCTTGGCATACTCATGAATAGTAAACGTTTTCTGTTTTATTTATAAGTGTAGGACAGGGTCTTTTTGTACTTCGCGTTTTCTATTAATAAAATATTAATTTTTATATATAATACTATTTTTTAAACGAATTTAGTCTCGAAATATTTGTGTTTATTAATAAACACAATTTTCTGATAGTATTGAATTAAAATTCAATAAATACTATATGATTCAATTCACATTATTGAAATATTTGTTTCTTTGTAAATTTTTTAAACTACACATTCAAATTCTATTTCTATTTGAACGTGTAAAGTAATAAGTATAAATTCTTTCCGTTTAAAATTTGTCGATATGTACAAAAAGCACGCTTCGCGATAGGTCGATTCCTGCGCCAAAGTAATATGATTTGTACTTTTTCGAATTTAAAAATATCCTTTTGCAAGGGAATCACCTGTTAGGAGATAAATACGAATCTTGAAATTTTTAAGTAATTTATATTATTGTTGTCATGCTAATAATATTTTTTTTAGAATTAACTCAATTTTGATTAAACTCATTCTTTTTCATAATTAAATTTGTTCAACTTAATGCATGCTTATTTTACAATTTTGAATTTTTACTTAGTAAAAGTCGAGTCATTTTATTTAAAAATAAAATAATACTTAACGAAAAGATGCTAGCCCGCTTAGGTTCTATTATAATAGAACCTAACCTAAATATAATAGAACCCAGTAATTAGGTAATTATAATTACTTAATTACTCTTTCAAGCTCAGGATTTTCAGGTTTAATCCATCCGTACTCGTTGTCTGAACTCATTCACGTGCCCAGGTGCTACTTGGATGAGCGAAGGCAATGGGCACGATGACTTAATCTGTAATATTAATCCATTTTTATATGAGCGACTGACTTTGTGCAAACGTATTCGTGCACCGGCGCCGGCGTACTTTCCACATGTGTGTGTGTGTGTGTGGTTAGGGTGTAGAAGTGCGTCGGTTAAGAATTTCTTATAATCTACAATCAGAGTGGTATTTATTAATACCAGACTTTTACTGTACTGTGGTATTAATACCAGATTTCTACTGTACTGTGTTATTTCACAATACCAAACTTTAACGTCAAACTTTTATATACAATGAATTATTTCACGATTAATTGTTTTATTAAATACATATTTTCATATTGCATATGGTGTGATAATTGTAATAAGTACTCGATTGAATATATATAAAAAGTAGCTTGCCAATCTTACTTGTATAACAGGACGACAATCATAAATTGATGGTGAACCTGTATATAATTTTTAATGATTGCATCACCTTAAAGTATCGCGTATAAATATTTATATATAATATTTAGATATACGCAATGGTCGCTAGCCTTTGTCAGTCGATTTCAGGAACTGGTACGTACCTTAAGGTATGTACTCTAAATTTAGAGTGTGAATGTTGTGTATGGTATCCTCGGGTGTCGGAGGTGTCCCGGGACACCTCTCTAGTTTAGGTCGCGCCCGAGGACCTTGAATGAGGATCGTTGAGCGTATGTGTTGGTGTGATTGTTTTAGCATTTTTAAATATAGGGTTAGGTAGGTAGGTAACTTACCTTCTGGTGTGTATGTTAAATCCCAGTAGGTAGGGTCCAGGGCAGATCTCGTCACTTTAGTTGGGTAGGTCGCGCGCGTATGTGATGGGTCTGCACCTGTAGGTGGATTTGAGAAATCGTTGCAATGACGATGCAAACGGAGCTTCTGTCCGTTTGTTTTCGAATCTGCTCTCGATTTCTCGAGTCTCGACTCTCTGAGTCGTTGCTTCGCGGTCGCGGTCGTGATCAGTAAGGTAGTTCGAAACGCTCGTTCCCTCGAGGTTCTAGACGTATGATTCACGTGTGGTTCACGTGTGGTTGAACGTCCACGTATTGCACTGAATCTCGATCCTAGCTATAAGTTTCAGATGGGACAATGCGTCCGAAGAAAGAAGAGGCTGTATGCCGAAGTGGTTCTGACAAATTGTCGCAAGAAAGGGCTGCAACGAATGGCTCCCCATCTTCGAATTCGAATTCGAAGATGGGGAGTAATTACTATTACTATTTTGTCACTGTACTCGCCTGTAGTTGTAGTAGTTTGTTTCTTTGGGTCATGTACCCCAACGTGGGATATCATTGCGTGTCAATTGGGCAATTCGCGTTTTGTTTTAGTGTTGCGTATGAAGATATGAATCGCGTTCGTTTGTTAGGATTGTTTCAATTGCTTCGAGTCTTTCGCGTTTTTTTTCAGAGTAGTTTTGCGATACGAATGAATACCAACCGCGATTGCTATTAGTGTTGCGTATGATAAATATCGCGTCCGTTTTTAAATAGTATTTAGAGTCAATTTAGCTTCTAATTGCTATGTATAATGTCTAATCATATCGGGTATATTTTATTTAACATAAGGTTGAATTGTTTCACTGTTATGAACCATAATATATTATTGACGTCTTATAAGACGTCCCTGTGCTATCTGGGTACTTTCCTAGTTACATATTTTACATATTTCAAAATTACTATCTTATCAGTAGTACGATAATGATGATGATAGAGTCAATTAATTATTTGATGTTTGATATTATTAGTGAATATTCATTATTAGAATTGTCACGCGATATAGTCTATCTTTTAATTGCCGTTAACTTCCAAGAATTTTGAAGTAAGAATGTAGAGAATATTTCCGGAAATATTGAAAATTTGTTGCATAATTAAAATTTGCTCGCGATCGTTATCCAATTTCATAACGAGTAAAAAGCTTACACTAAAAGAGTACGCAAATGCAATTCGATGCTTCGTATCAATATGAAAACTCTGACTAGAGTCGATATTATCTGTGTTCGTTATTATTCTTTCAACTAAGAGTAGAGTCGTTACGGAAACTTATTTCTCACTTTTGCTTAAATTATTATAAAATAATACTGTTAATCTTTTAAACTTTTTTTTCTTGGCGTTAAGACGCAGTTCATTTCTGATTCAAATTTATTTTCAAAGTATTCGTGTCTCGAAACTCAAAATTTAAATCGAACTTCTTTCTATTTCAATTTTACTACGATTGGCAATGATTTTCATATCGAGTAATTTATGTGTGTACGTTTGCACCATAAAATATTCTTCTCAGCTTTCATATTTTGATTTGTATATGTATATATTTTAATCTATTGAACAAGTTTATGTTTCAGAGATAATATTCGTCTTGAAGAAGAATGGTCAAAACCAATTAAATACAGAACTTGAACTGGTGTGTCTGAAAAACCAAACTTTATCAAATTCTGTTTAGTATGTTTCAGTTCATGCTTCAGAAATTCTTCTTGCACTTCATCGAACATCACCGGAGGCTGGATGTGTTGACACAATTAGATTTATAACATATTTGTAAGAAAAGCGTAATTAGATATAAGAAAAACACGATAGTGTTTAATTGTGTATTAAGTTATTATATATAATATTTAAATTTGAGCGCTCAACTAGCTAGAAACAGTTAGTATTTAACGACAAAACAGACAAACAGTAAACTAATTACATTGATCAATGTATTTTCCCCATCTTCCTTTCCTATCACACATGTAGTACTACATCAGTGTTAATTAAGTAGATTATTGCATAGATTCTTTGTGTAATATGTATGCATTTCTCTTGATACTTGTGGTGTTAATTAAGTAGATTATTGAATAGAGTCTTTGTGTAATATGTATCCATTTCTCTTGGTACTTGTGGTGTTAATTAAGTACATTATTACATAAGTGGCTTGTTGGTTGCATAATGTTTTTTTCTATTTTTATTAGTGCATGTCAGGGTGGCAGGTACAAAACCTAGATTAAGGAAGTGTGGCTAGGATGTGGTTTTGTCTTGGCCACCAAAATTTTTGGGCTTCCATATGCAGCAACCTCCACGTGGTGAGACCTGGACCCTCTATATTATTTGAAGTATGTAATTGCTAACTGCATCGCCAGTAAGGGTCAGATGACATTATCAATTGCATACCAAATAATAGGAGCTAACAGCTGCAATGTTTCTTGTTTACGAGTAAATGAAAATATGCAGTTTTAGAATTCACTTAGAATCACTATTATATACATGTATAAGAGAGGGATGATTATTTTTAGATTTTATAAGGTCTAAAGATATATCTATTCTAGTCTTCAACTTTAATACATTTAAATTAATACATCTATGTATATGATATTTGAAATATAAGGTGTGGTTTAATGTATCCAAGTTTACTCTCGAAAACGTTAAACGTGAATGTTATAAATACTGGTGCCTTTAAAAAGGTTATGGGTGAACGGGTTAGCTTAGAAATTTTTTGTTCTCATACATAGTGACCGTCTTTTAGTTGTAGCTAATTATTGGAACTATACTAATACTGGTTTTAGTACCAATGGCGCCATCGATGGTAAAACGCCCAAGTTTGTACTGAAAACAGTTTCCTCTGCTTCTGTAAGATGACGTCACTGATACTTTTAATCATTTATTCTGTATTTTTTATAAATGCATAATTAATGCGATCCTTTGGTTCATAACACTTCTGCGTGTGTCGAATTTATAATTTTTATGAGTTATTTGAAGAAGCAATAATTATCGACGCTTTAGCTAGCAGCGCCATTTAATAGCGGTGGTGGGAAGTATTTACTACAAATTTGGGCGTTTTCCCACTGATGGCGCTATTAGTATAAAAACCAGTATTAGTATAGTTTAGTAATTGATTGCTACTATGTTTGAGACAAAATTTGTTAGTTCACCCCCTCAAAGAGTGATTTAGTGATTTATTTCTTTGTTAAAAAGTATTAAATAATAATTAATTATTCGATTATTCTTGGTAGTTATATGTATCCTACGACTGAATTCGATTGTTGGCGTCATAAGAAACTTACTAGAGATTCATGATCTACAAACATAAAGAAAAATTCCCGAGGATTATCGATTAGGAAAAAGGAAACGAAATTGTAGGTGGCTCCACGACAGTGATGCGGTTCGACAACAATCGTTGTGACCTGTTAAATAAATTAGTTTTGCGATTTCAGTGAACGTGGCTAATTTAAATAGATGAGAAAATTAGATCCACAAGAGGCCTGGGGGGCTGACAGGTTAGAAGCACAATTAGAAGCAGCTCGAGATGGTCTTCGAGGGCTTGATCGGAGTATTCGGAAAATCTTGGGCCGGGATCTTCCTGATGGAGAAAACGGACCAGTACAACCACCACCAAGGTTAAATTCATAATAATTCTTCTGTAAACGTTCCTAAAATACCTCAGAAAAATGTATACATCCTGCAGAATATATCTTATTCCATAATTTCATTGATCAATGAATAAAACACTGTTGTCTATAAACATAACCTAGTTCTCGTACGCTTCGACCATTTCATTACATTTCACACGATTTCATTGCATTTATTTGTAATAATTCAGCAATATAATAGTAAATTCATGTGCTAATTTTTTTAATTTACGTTAAACTGGTTAAGCCAAGTAGAGTTGTTAGTCTAAGCAATGTCATTGATTTATTGTGTATAATTGTTCATACATTAATTTGCAATTCAATTTTAATAGGCTGACACAAAAGAGGCCATTACAAGAAGATAGACGACGTATTGCATCTGATTTTGTCAACAATGATGTAACTGGTGGAAAACGAAGATGGCAAGGTTCAAATGGAGAACCAAAAACAGTTTTCAGTCGTTTAAGTGCACGCGTTCCTTCCAATAATGATGATAGTGCAGACGAAGATGATACTATTTTCAAAGTATGATTATATTACATATACCTATTATCATTTATCATTTTTAATGCATCACTTCAAATAATATTGTTAAATATCTACTTTAGCCAGCTGTATCTTCGCGAATAATAGCAACCCCACGAGAAATTCCATCTCGACAGGAAGTAATCAGGCGAGAAAGGACAGATGAACGGAGTCGGCAAAGAAATAAGCGAATGTTTGGAGCTCTTTTAGGTACACTACAGAAATTTCGTCAAGAGGAAACTAAACTTAAAGCAAAGGTACACCTTCCATTGATATTAATGAATGTCTAGATTTTCACATTGTAACACGCAGATTTGATTGGGCAGTATTTATTAATTATGGATTACATTGTATAGGAAGATAAAAAAGCAGAAGTAGAAGCGAGAGTTGAGGAAGCTCGGAGAAGAGAAAAAGAAGAATTGCGAAGAGAAAGGCAACAACTGTTTTTGTCACGCAAACGACAATTAGCAGAAGTACGAGCGTTGGAGGCAAAGTTGGCGCGTAGTCGACAATTTCAGGATTGGCGTGCTGCGCAGTTACCACTTGCTTCGTTTATAAAAACGCGTGCGCAACCTCCTATTTATTATGCACCGAAGCGTAAACATCCGCAGACCGACGTTCTCCTAACTCAATCAGCGAAAGAACTTCATGGTGCGTATTTTTGTAACGAGCGTTGCTTACGGTAAGCAGAAAATCATTACTTTTTGTTATTATTTTGTGTTACAGAGGAAATTGAAAGAAGGGAAAAAGCATTGGTCGAAGAACTCGAATTAATAGAGGTACAAGTAGGTCTTGGAAAGCATCAACAGAACTTTGATGGGTCCGCATCGCTAAATGCGACCGCTGAAGTTCAGCAGTCGGTAGAAGAAGGAGAAGAAAACTGTGATCCGAATCCGGAAAAGAATTCGGAATCGGAGACTAACGAAGAACCCGAGAATATTTCGGTGAAACCCGAGAAGGTCGAAAACTGCGATATATCGAAAGAAGTTGAAAAAACGGAGGAAGTACAAGTAAATGAAATAAAGGACGAGAATAATGGCTAGTATTAAATGTACTTACGACGCTTGTACATATTACGTACATTGGATGGTCCAACGAAAAAGGAAATGGAGTTTTTCTTACTCGATACTTTATGCGTGTGGATAACTTTTACAATTTTTGAGAAAATTTCACTTTCTACTTGTTCTCATACGGATACAAATTCATTCCCTTCGTCGTATCGCATACTCATTTCTTCATCAAGCGTCGATCGACGGGTGTCGTTCAAATTTTCCATAGACATAAGAGGTTAGTTGCAGTTTACTGAAATTCCCTATTTTTTAAATGTTGCATATTTGTATTATGGTTATCGTAGTGTGTCATTTAAATGATTACCACTCATCGAGTAGAGTAAAACAGTCCGGTGAAGAAGTAAGTATGTCGATAGCATACCATAAGACAATTCGAAATTTGTTTCGATTGGAAAATTATGTATAATAGTCTGTTCATCGTTTTCTTTGTATCAGTATGTCTTTTAATACATATGCGAGAAAGAAGAGCATTAAACGAATCTAATGCTTTACGTGTATGATCAAATAAAATATATAGATATAAACCTCGAGCGTGTCTCCTGGTGATGTAGCGTAGTCCAAATTCTTATACGAATTTGTACATCTCCGTTCTTCTAATTAAGCATGACATCAAGAGAATTCGTCGCGTATCAATGAGGGTAAAAGAACACGGGTAATTTTTCTGCATAGCAATATTAATAAGCATTCGAGTTTCGCAAAGATCGACCTTTCCTGCCTTGCAAGACGGAACAAGAATCCTTGTCTATTCTTTATAAATTGGAAATAAGAATTAAAGAACCTATGAAAAATTAAAAAGCTCGCAGAAGTAAATTTACAACAGAACCTTTTATGAAAATTTGATTATTTTCGCTTTATTTGACTCTTGTTTCGTAATTATTCCTTTATAAATTTTACGTAACTGCAATAAAATTAATCGTAAAGTTGAACACCGACAATTTTTACACAATTATAATTTCCTGACTGTTTAGTTCAAGTTGAATATGACAAATTAGGTACATGTATCTGTTTAAGGCAGCGGCCATCCTCGACGCATTTCTCTTGCGTTCTTTCGGATGATCTTGGTGCGTGCACGTTGTAAAATTAGTCGCTACTTATCCAGAAATTCCAAGCAAATCATGAACGCAGCAGAGCTAGCGATGGGATCAATCCATTATGTACCTGCAACTTGTCATATTAATTAATTTTCTCTCCTTGATATCAATGTAATCGTTATTTACGATACATTCATATCTTTTTCATTAAATACGACATTTAAAACAAAAAAAAATCGCGTAAAATGTGGTTCGATATTTCCAAGCGTTCGCATTTCTCTATCGATAAGTATACACCGTCGATAGGTATTTCAGAAACGGTTCAACTCGATCGAAAGTGCAAATACTGCAATTAATCTATTAATACCAGAGTAACAACATTATTAATTATTCAGAGAGCTGGAAACTTCTGTAAGTAAAATTTGTATTTATATCGATATAATTATTTCTATTTTTAATATTTCGTTGGTTTCCAGGTTCACGAGCCAACGATCGAATTTCAATACTTCGCAAAGTACAGAAATGGGCAAAATTCTTATCTAGATTCAATTTCGAATAACATGTGAAATATAAAAGATAAATAACTTTTTATCAGTTACTTGTTGAGTAACACTTAGAATTTCAATTATGGGGTGAAATTATATTTCATAGTGAACGAATACGCATCGCCAATAGATCGATAGATATTTCTATTGGCCATCTTTTCCAATGAAATTTTCCTCGTAGCTGCCTTGTCTTGCGACAGAAAAAGGAACAGTCGGTAAGAAACGTGATTAAGCGCGGCAATTCGTTAACCAATTTACACGAGGAACGCGGTTTGGACGCTCCGCCGGCAGATTCTCTGAGACTTTCTATCTTCCCGGTAATATTCGAGGGCAGGAGGGGATGGTATGAAAGGGGCGTTCCGCCATGCAACCTCGGAATATGGCTAATGCGTCTCCGTGCCGACGTCTATCCTCTTTCCCTCCATTCCCTCTAGTCCTCGACGAAATAGACACTCGGAATGGTAAAATAGTAACCTTTTTACAGAATCTATACCGAAATACAAGCCACAATAATACTCTGTACCAGGGAACCGCAATGCAATTATAAACGATTCGTAACAGAAAGTTTGTCATTTATCATTGATCTGACGCAGCAATTCTTAACTATTATTCTGATCAGAATAAAGCGAAAGCAAATATGAAGGAAATATGAAATATTACTCTGCAATGTTAAGCATATAATAGGTTGTCAAGTTTAAGTATAAGCAAGGAATATGGTTCTTTGAGATTTTCGCGAATCTACTGCTAATGTTAAGTTAAAGATAATACATGAGGTTAACATCGTATTGATAATCGTTTTGGTGTCTATTTTTTCTATGCTCGGTAGCAGTAGCATAACTAGGGGGTGCAATGCATACGTGGCACGCAGGAAGTCAATTTCTAGGGGCTCAAATTTTCTAACAAACAAAAAACAATCAGATTATTCCTATTTGCACAAACTTTTGTTCGTAAATCTAAGTTCCTTTTAAACATCCTACCATTTGCTTGATCTTTGCTCTTCCATTTATTTTTATTAACTTTCCTTTCTAAGAGTCCAGTTTACGCCAATGTCCAATTACTTCAAATATTTGACTTTTACAAGTGTTGCTAAATAAACAAGGAAAGTTTGTACAATTTTTACAGGAATGTTTTATCCAAACACTCGATTAATCTTTCTTCTTCCCTTTACTTTTACTACCTTTTCTTTGAAAAAGCCCAAGTTGCACAATTATTAGTTACTTTAAATATTTGCCGCTTATAAGTAGACTGCGGATCTTTATGCAAAATAAAATCTTCGCGAACGTGCCTACAAAAATTGATCTTAAACAGGAATTAATTTTATTCTGCAAATACATATTATGACATGAACTTTACCTTCAATATTTTTTATATTCTTGCATATTGCTTGCATTTTGTAGTTTCTTGCACATTGAAATTTCCTATAAATGCATAAAGATCCGCAGTCTACTTATAAGTGTTAAATAAACAAGGAAATTATCTCGAATTTGTCTGTATACAGGGGTGGATCGTGACCGCCATTTTGCTGGTCGAGGAACAATTCCCTAGAAAAAGCGGGAGTCGGGATAAATATACGCCATTTCCCGCGTATCGCGCGGCGCCGGTCCGCGGAAACGAAAAAAGGAAGTAGATCGAAAGTAAGACTGACGACGCCCGGCATCGGGTAGCGCAGAAGCGTGAAGCGTGCGACGCGACGCTCAGCGTCACGAAGACATGAGAGAAGCCGACAGGGGCCGGGGGGACTCGGAGCTATTTGTATACACCGAATGGAAAACGTGGCTCGACTCGTCTCCAGACGAAAGGAACGGGAAGCTTTCTTAATTACCACGTTCCACCCTATTCTCGCGTTTTCCTCTTTACTATTCGCTATCGCGAAAGACGAGGCTACCGCTGGAGACCTTTAAACAAAAGGTCGAAAAATTTAGTTGAGTATGGCTCATTAAAAGAACCCAACATATCTTTCTGTTAGTAAGGGAGCGTTTCCATATTCATACCACTTCAGATATGTTAGTTTACATTTACTACAGTAAAACTTCATTTATATCAAATTGTAGGGCCAATTTGATAAAGCAAGTATTAATAATTATTATTTAGTAAGCATCGAGTATTAGTAAAAAACATATATCATGAGATCACAGCCGGCCTTTATAAAGGGGCCTGGGTGTAAGAAATCATTTGAGGCCCAACTAAATTTTTTGTAAAGTAAACAAAAGTACAAACTCGAACATATATTGCTAATGCATGTTTATTTAATGTGTGATTTTGTTTTTGCTAATATATTAATTACTTCAGAAAAATTAGTGCATTTAAAGGTTCTGCGCACATGCTTGACTGAAGATAATTCTTTATTAATTTTAATTTGCTGAAAGAGCGATCAGCACTTGCTATAGTAACTGGCAACATAAAGAAAAGTTTTAATACAGTTAATACATTCAGAAATAACTTATTCAATGTGCAAGAGTACATAGTGTCTTGAGTTTCTGTAGTTCTTGATCATGTTGGGGCCCCTCAATCGCGGGGCCCCGGTACATAGCATCGGCCGCACCCTCCAGATGCCCAGCCCTGCATGAAATATTAAGTATAAATTATGTTTCGTTAAAACAAAATTAATTATTGTCATTGAAAACTTTACTAATTACTAAATTCTCCGAATCTTGCAAACATTCCAAATTAATTGCATTCGGTTTCCTTTGTGCTTTCAATCATTTAATAACTCCATTCGAAGCATGGAGGGCATCAATACGTTTAGGAACTACTTCATAGGGACCATTTTCAAATTGTCTATCTTTCCAGAAATGGAGTAAAATACAAGTACAGCAGAAATTCACTGAATCGGACATTGACGAAAATTTTGCCCCGACAACTGGAGTTTCACTCGATACTGATTTTCACGGATATTAATATTATATTTCGAGCATTCCCCGGCCAACTTTAAGAGAACCTTCCAGTCGTAGGAAATCTCGGGCCATTAAATCGCGCGTGCACTTCTAATACATTCTACTCTATTCTAAGCGTGGCAGATATGCGCCAAACCGTCCCCTCTCGCGGAGGGTTTATTTACCCGTTAATTTATTAGCGCGTGTTGCTCGCGGCGCAGCTCGTAATCGAGCGCGACGAAGTTCGCGAACACTGAACGTCGTAACAGCGAACGCTACCCACTAGAAGTCACCGTATTTTAAAGGGGTTGCCGCAGACGCTAGAACGCGGACACCTTTATCTCACGCTTGAATCTACCTCCAACGAAAAAGGACTCGACGTGTATTTGCCGTGGAAATTTATATGCCTATTCACGGCCAATGTCTGTCCACTCCTCTGATATTAGAAAGACGAACAATTCGGTGAACGCGTAACCGAATTGTCTGCGCTGCATTCCGCATCTTGAGTCATTCTCGCGGTGGAAACTAACTGTGGACGATACAACATGCCGAAGTAGATGTTCTTGGATCCTTGCGAGGCTGAGGGATGTTTTCTATTCTTATATTGCTGATGCATACACTCTCCTATGCAGGATGCTATGCACCGGGGCCCGCGATCGAGGGAGCCCCAATATGATCAAGAACTAAAGAAACTCAAGAAATAATGTACTCTTGCATATTGAAAGTTGACAATATTACTATCATTATCGGTATGAAGTGGTGAGCGTTCTTTCAACAAATTCAAATTAATAAAGAATTATCTTTGGTCAAGCACGCACGCAGAACGTTTAAATCCACTTGCTCTATTAAGTATCGGAAAAGAAATTGCAAAAACTTGTAACTTTTCTGAAGTAATTAATATATTAGCAAAACCAAAATCACACATTAAATAAACACGCATTAGTAATATATGTTCGTGTTTGTATTTTCTTTACTTTACAACAAATTTAGGGTCTCAAAGGGTTTCTTGCACCCAGGCCTCTTTGTAGAAAAGCCCGGCTCTGCTCCTAAACATTAAACATGTTTCATTCATAAATTGTAT